ACCACAACTTGATCATTATAAAAAATCCTCAAAAAACATGAACCACAAGTCAAACCAATTGCCAACCAATCTCAAGACTTATAAAAACCTCACTCTCTGACATCCCCTTCATTCCCTCAGAAGCTTCTCCATTTGCATCAAATAATTGATCTTTTTCCGCCTCAACAACTGCTCAACACTTGTCTCCTCAAAAAGCCACCTCCAACACTGCTCATCATTTCTCTACACAACTCAATCATCAACTTTCCCTTCCATATCCGCATCCGCTTCTATCTCTATTCTCCCTCATCAATCAATCCTATCAAGCTTGTCAACATATTGATCTCTACTCCTTCCAATCCTCAACGCTTCTGATTGCCACAACCTACTATCTCAACATCCTTTCCAGCCTTTTGCCAACTAGGTGAGAAACTCAAATCTCCACCAACCTCTATGAACACTCACCAACTCTAACTCATTGAAACTTCATTAACAACTCACTTTCTATTGTTTTCCTTTCTTTCTTCTGCTTCAACTCTGATTATCTATCCTTGTTTGATCTCATTCATCTCAGTCTTTCTGTTCTGCTTCCTATAAAGATTAATTCTTCTTGTGGTATGCTATTTCTTTTTTCTTTTTTTCTTATTGAATATTGTTTTTGTCTAATTCATATTGTTTTTAGTTCTGGTTCTAGTCTCAATAATAATTCCTGTTTCTCATCAATTCTTTTGCCTTTCTTGCTTGTTTTAGGGGGTCAGAAAAATGACTCCCACAAATTTGCCGACGACTCCCATTTTGGTCCAGAGGTAATCAGACGGGAGTCTTCTTTTCAATCCCCCCTGGGGGATTGGGAGTTGACCTCCCAATTGAATTTTATTTTATCTTATTTATTTTATTTTTTGGGGTGGGAGTCGGCGCCCAAAACCCTCCTTGGCAAGTGGGAGGGGGGGGGGGATTCCCACCGGTCATTGAGACTGTACAGTCTCACATTCAATGACCGTAAGGAATCCCCTCTGGTCATCAAGATCATTCAATGACCAGAAGTACCCCTTCCGGTAATTGACACCATTCAAATTTTGATGACCAGAAGGACCCCTTCCGGTCATTGACACCATTGAAATTTCAATGACCGGAAGGAATCCCTTCCGGTAATCAAGAACATTTGAATTTTGATGACCGGAAGGAATGCCTTCCGGTAATCAAGACCATCCAAAAACAGGAAGGACCCCTTCCAGTCATCGGGACAATTCAAATTTTGATGACCGGAAGGAATCCCTTCCGGTCATCAAGACCATCCAATAGGGGGGTTCACGATTGAACTTTAAGGCCATTTTTAAGGTGTTTCTGATCATAAATTTATATTTTTTTTGTGATGTAAAGGAATTTCAGAAACCAATAAATCGGAAAAAGTCAAGAAAACTATAAAACGTTGCTCATAAACACCTTAAAAATCACTCTAAAGTTCAATCATGAACCCCCCTAATAGCCGGAAGGACCCCTTCCAGTCATCAAGACGATTTGAATTTTGATGACCGGAAGGGACTCCTTCTGGTCATTGAGACGATTTGAATTTTGATGGCTGGAAGGAATCCCTTCCGTTCATTGAGACCATTCGATGACCGGTGTGGTAATTTAATATGTAAAAATTTCAATTTCTTTCTTTATATATATTTTTTCTCATAGAATCAGTCAAAAATCAACCAGTGCAACTTCAGAAATGGACTCTACGGACAATTTCAGCCTAGGTCACCACTGGACGCATCACTGGAACCTTCACAGATTGGAAGTTACACCCCTACAGACCCATATCACAAGGCCAATACCCAGTCAAGCACCTGTCACAACCCTCAAATCAACTTACAGTTATTCTCATACACAGCCCACGGTATAAACATAATTTCCCACACCACTTTATCTCCACTGCATAAATTAGTTTGGTTTTATTTGTCACCTCATGCACTGCCTTTGCAGGCTGCACAGTCTTGATTGAATTACTTTTCCCACAGTTTAATTTTCTCACCTCACTTATGACAACAGCTGAATTTTTCCCACAATTTATTGCCTCATTTGACACTTTCTCACATTATTTAAGCACTGCAGCACAGCCTTTGACATTAATTGTACACTGCCTCACTGGTTAATTTCCCTCACTTGCATGATCAGACTAGCTAAATTCACTCATTTGTACCTACAGGCCAGCTAAAATCACTCTTTCTTGTCTGCCCTGGAGCTAAATTCCCTCACATTGTTAGGGCCAGTGTAAACCGCTGAGCTACAGAGACTTTGTCTCTGCCAGTGTTTTTGGAAATCTAGTCAGCTGGGGGACCCAGCTCCAGGCAGCTCACCCAGCTCTGGCAGCTCTTTGGGTCCAAACCGAATATAATGGCACCATTTTCTTTGGTTTGGGACCGAAGAATTTGAGTGACACAGGTGGCCACTATTGTCAGCCTCTATGCTACTAACCTGTAAGGGTTGTGCTCTGAGTGTTAACAAGAAGTGTAATGAGATGGTTTATTTGTGGTAAAAATCCCTTAACCTGTAAAAGAAACAGGGAGGAGTCAGTGAGGAATGGTACTTCTACTGCTGACTCATCCAATTATTCAATTGGGCATCCAGATCAATCCTGTTACGTGGATTAATAGGCTTCCAATGTGAGGAATTCTTCTACTCACTTGGGATCAAGTCTTTTAACAACAATCCAGATGAATAAGTGTATGTACACTTAAGGACCAGAATTGTTTAACCAGGGGGATAATTCTTTATGCAATAGAGATAAGTAGAAATGCCTTGAATCTGAGGAAAGTAAATCTATTTAGGTCTAAGGTAGCTAAGTTGTAAGGTTATTGGTGGTCTAAGTCACTTATAATCACGGTACAAGTGTTGGTTTGATGCTACTAGAATTTCCTGGGGGGAAAAGGTAGGAATCAGGGCTCCTTAAATATTCTACAGGGGACTCAGGGGAAGAGGAGAGGCCCTCAGGGCACTAGGGAGCTTCTTAGCAACTGCTACAATTTCGTGTAAGGATGGGAGCTGCAGCTGTG